CATGTAGCGTCACAGCTCACAGCAACCTCTGGCTCTTGGGCTTAGGTGATTCTCTCCCAAGTAGTTGGGACTACAGGCACCTGCCACAACGCCTGCACAACGCCTGACTATTTTTGGCTGGTTTTTCTCGTTGGTTTAGCACACAACTCAGAGCAACCTCCAACTCTTGGGCTTAGGCGATTCTCCTGCCTCAGCCTCCCAAGTAGCTGGGGCACCCGCCACAACGCCCGGCTATCCTATGGTTCATGAGTCTCATACCTTGAGAGCTTTATAAAATATTTTATCACTAATGTTCATTGCTTTTATGATCAGAAAAAAAATTTTAAAAATTAGTCAGGTGTGGTGGCATGTGTCTATTGTCCCAGTTCCTAGGGAAACATGGGTGAGAGGATCCCTTGAACTCAGGAATGCCAGACCAGCCTTGAGCAAGAGTGACTTCATCTCTACTAAAAATAGAAAATTTAGCTGGGTATGGTGGCAAGTCCATAGCTCACAGCAACTTCAAACTTAGAGGAGGCTGAGGCAGGAAGATTGCTTGACCTCAGAAGTTTGAGGTTGCTGTGAGCTATGATAATATCAATGCACTGTAGCTTGTGCAACAGAGCAAGACCCTGCTTCAAATAAATACACAAATGTTTATTTTTTAAAAGAAATATAAAGTGCTCTTTATGAATAGAGCTGCTAACCACGACATATACTCCACTTGAGGCATGTGGTATGTGGGTGCATCCACTTTGGAGTATGGAACTCAGTATGAGAACACCCTTGGGCCCATTGTTGACAGCAGCTATGCAGTTCCTAACTACCTCAAACTGAAAACAAGCTCATCACCACTCCCAGGAAAATAGATGAAGAGCCTGAAGAGTATCACCAGAAGGCACTTCCCATCACACTCAGTGGGTCTTAGAAACAATTCTGAATGAAATAATAAAGCTGCAGAAGAATGCACACAACCTAATCTATCTTTAAAACTAAAAGTTGACCAATACGATTAAGGGATACAAACAGATATGACACTATAAGCTCAAAGAAAAAAGATTTATTTCGTAACAAAATTCAAAATAGTAGTTTCATAAGTTGGGGAAATATTCTTGAATTTCAACTTATCAGTTACTTGTCACTTTTTCAGGTAGGTGGATGGGTCACAGGTATTTAACATTATGTATGCTTCTTAATTTAAACATACGTACACATATCAGACACACTTCACAGGCCTAAAACCTAGGAACTTAAAAGGGGATTTAAATTAATCAGAGGTGCTGTGGGAGATGCACCAGGGAACTGGAAACATGAAGCACCAGCAACACGAGGACCAACAAAACAGGGATAAACAGCGTTTTCCAATCAAGCATATGAGACAGACTTCATTGATCTCACAAATGGAAATGTGGGGAAAATTGCAAAATTTGATTCCTACCTCGTAACGCAAATAATATTCCTTTCTTTTCTTTTTTTTTAACATGAAACAAGGTTTATTAAGGCAGAGAAAGATAAGTTTACAGAGCAAGATATGTTGGCGACAGACAATGAACCAGTCTCCTTTGTCCCAACAAAGGAAAAGGCTGCAAATGCAAGTTGGACATAGGATATTTTAAAGGTTCAAAGGAACCATAATGGTGCTAAAAGCAAAAAGGTATTCTTGGGTGAAACTCGACTAAAGAAGGGACTTTATGTACCTTCTACATATCCATACCTTAAGGTGACCAGATTTTAACATTGGTAAAGTGAGACACCATTTGGGGGGGAGGAGATGTTTCCATAATTAAAATAGTATTGTAATTTTTTAAAAAAATTTCAACATAAGTACAATTTACAAATATAATACATTTAAAAAATTACGTATAGTACTATTTTATTCTTTGGTATATTTCCCATTTGAGTGAATTTTTTTTAGATTGCTGTCGTCGTTTAAAAGGTCATGAAAATTTTCACAAGAATTTGTTAAATTTTATTTCACACATAAAATGGCTTTCAAAGTCTCAGCACTTAATTGTGATTTTTCTGATGTCCATACTTTATTTACCTTAGAAAAAAACGCATTCAGTCGCAGGATTAGTTCCTGGTAAGTACAGCGCGTATCCCACAGTTTTTAGTGCATTATTGTATGGCACATGGTTTGTTTCAAAATGATTAAGTATTTCTCAACATTTGTTCTCTATTGTGATTTTTGCTGATGCCCAAGATTTAACCTTTTCCTTATCAATGTATTTTTTAAATAATGATACCTCCTAAGTCGTAGGTGTCACAGGCCGGCACTAGAGTTTTGCCGCCACTATAAAATATAAATAATACGAGTACTCACGCAGTGGTAAGCAGACCACTCCCTGGGTTAGGGGAGGAGTTCTAACTTTAAGGGCAGGAAGGGGCTTTTTGGGGGGAGGGGCTTTCTGAGGCAATTATCTAACATGTCCTGCATTCTTTCCAAAAATCGGAACTTTTTAAAAACGCCGCGGGACGCGGGACAAATTGTTAGAAATCAGGCGTCTGGTCACCTTGCCATACGTAGACAGAACATCTATGGGACCGCGTGACGTTTTTTAGCTTCAGAAGAACTGAACAGACCGAGCACACTGCAGTATAAACAACACTTAGCACCAGCACACGGAAGGAACATTTCCAACAGCAACCAGAGAACCTGACCAGCAAGCAGACGGACAGAAAATACTGGAAATGATGCTCAGGCACCAGCACGAACGCTGACCCAAAGCGTTTCCTGTACATACCTTCGAGCGCGCGCCGGACCTTCTCCTTCTTCTCCTGGGCCGTCCGCCGCGCTTCTTCCCGGGCCTTGCGGTACAAGTACTCGCGGCGCAGGCGGGCTTCGCGGCGTAACTGGAAGAGCAGCGGGCGCGGTCACCACGCGCCCCCGACCCACATCCTCAACAATCCATGAGCCCTCCGCCCCACGGTCGCCGAGGCTGGAACTCGAACATCCCACCTACCATCCTGGACGCAGCTTCCACGTGGGTTTGGGAGAATCCGCAAGTGGTGGCCGCGCGACACAACCCTCGCTTCCGCCCTTAGCCAAGAAGGTCGCTGGAAGCTTCACTAGAGACTACTGCTGTCGAAATGCCCGAAGTCAAAATGGCGAACAGAGACACGGCGTCGCGAGGCGATTGGCCAGTGGGGCAGCGCATGCTCATCCGGGCAACCAACAGATGGGCTTCAAGATGCTGTCACGTAGCTGGTGACGACCATCAATAAAGATGTCTGTCCCCGGTTTTGCAAATAAGTTTTAGATGATGAACCGCTAAAACGATTGTATTTGGCAGCTTCAAACGGCCCACCAACTGTAAAAGCAGCACAGTGGCTGATCAGGTTTCCTATGTGCTCCTTCCGGAATTAAGTGTAAAGCCTCTCTTGCCTTAATCAAAATGTTTGCCCTATTGCTTCGCCGCCTCCTGTCGCCACAGTAGTAACCCGACTTTTAGAATTCGGCAGCTTCCGGAAGCGACTCGGAACCACTTGCAAACCTACCCGACAATCCTTCTGGCCGATCCTCTTGGGGTGCTAATCGGAGAAACTCAGTAATACATACCATGGGACTGCTTCCCAGAGGACGCTCGGCCTTAAAGGTTGTGTCCTCACGTTTGCGTCGAGGCCCACGGCTGGGAACGCCCACCTGGGGCGTGTCTCCTGCGCGGATTGGCTGTCTTGCCTGCTCAGCGGGCGGTGACTGTGCGACCTGGAAGGAAGAGGCTCCAGTCGGCCCACCTGATACTGGAGGCTTGTCCATGGCTGCGCCAGATCTGAGGGCGGAGCTGGACTCGCTGCTCCTGCAGCTACTTGGGGACCTGGAGGAGTTAGAGGCGAAGCGGGCGGTGTTGAACACCCGGGTGGAGGAGGTAAGTATTTGAGGCGGGCCGGACCGTACACGGACGCAAACTGAGTCTCCCCATTCTCCGCTTTCCAGGGATGGCTCTCGCTCGCCAAGGCTCGCTACGCCATGGGCGCCAAGTCTGTGGGACCCCTGCAGTATGCTTCCCGAATGGAGCCCCAGGTCTGCGTCCGTGCCAGGTGGGGAGTCTTCGATGCTGGAGCGGGCGTGCGGGCGGGCGGGGCCGGGGTCCCTCGCGCCCGCGCCCCTCGCGCCAGTGCCGCCGGCGCCGCCAGCGCCGCCAGCGGTGCGTCCTCCCTTCTCGTCTTTTAGTGAGGCCCAGGATGGCTTCCAGAAGTTCAGGGTGGTGAGAGCTGGCGTCCAGACTCCAGAGGAGGTGGGACCGCGTGAGGAAGGTGAGCCCCTTTCTTCTGCCAGGGGCCTATGTCAAGCACAATGCACAGAACTCTTGAGGAGATGGTTTTATTTAGGCTTTGCAATAGAGAAAAAACCCAGAGTTGAAGAGCGGAATATCTTAAAGGGTGATTTTTGCCTTAGACTTTTATAGGAGAATTAGAGAAGTTATAGGTGTTTTACAACTGGGATAGTTTTGTAATCATGGAAGTGTCAATCAGCTGGACAAAAAAGATTTTTGCATCTAGCTAGTTTTAGAGGGACAAACTTCTTTATCCCAGTTAATTATTCCTCAAAGGAAAAAAAGGGAGTTGGAAGATCTGTATCTGGCTTTTCAGCACATTCAGGCAAAAATGGTTAAGATCAGTGTGTGGCCTTGTCAAAAATAAACAGGGTCATCTTTGGGTCTTACAGGAGTCATGAGCAAGAGTGCATAGAGATCTGAGTCACAAAAGGAAGTGCAGTGCTTTGGGGTAAATGCTTCCCAGATCACAAAAATTAAGGTAGGGGGTTCCAACCATCAGTGTTTTCCAGAATCATGAGCGCAGATCAAGCTCGACATTGTTGCTAAGACCACAAAGGCTAGGTGGTAAGATCCCAGCTCCTTCCAGGCTTTTTTCTCTCCAGGTTTGCGCAGGCGCAAGGGCCCCACTAAGACCCCAGAGCAAGAGTCCTCTGAAGGCCCCCAGGACCCTCTGAACTGGTTCGGAATCCTGGTTCCTCACAGTCTACGGCAGGCCCAAGCTAGCTTCCGCGATGGTGAGTTGACCCTGCCAATAGGCCATGTGACTCTGGGCTAAAATCAGACCCTCAATCCACAAGGGAACACTTGAGCACTAATGCCATGGACGGGGTTAGTCTATAAAGGGCTTTGCAGTTTTCTCCATTGCATACCTTTGTTGCACACCTGCTGTTTTTTCCAAAAGCATCTGCTGGCTGTTGGCAGTCTTCCAGGCTCAAGCTAAGTTCTGGGGATACAATAGGGAACCAAAGTGATCAACACTGTTCATGGAATGCTTATTCCATGGAGAGGAGAAAGGTGTGCAAATAAATACATAGGCTGTTAATCTAACATCTGGCTGTGAAAATTTTTATGAAACAATAAAGAGTGGGCTGAGGGAACTGTTTTATGAAGGAGAGCTAAGGAAGGGTTTTTTTGAGGAGATTGAGGAAAAGCCTTATGGATGATCTGGGGTAACAGTGCTAGGTAGAGGAACCAGCCAGGGCAAAAGCACTGAAGGAAGGTCTGTCTGGTGTGTGTTGGAGGAAGGGTAGATGGAGGCCAGTGGCTGCAGTGGAGTTAGCACAATGGAAGTACTAGAGGCTGAGGACAGGGAGGCTGGGCCCAGACTTTGTAAGTCTTGGGGAGGCTCTGAGCAGAAGGGTGCAATTGTATTTTCAAGGTCACAGGGGTCCTTTCAAGGTCACAGACTGGAGAGCAGAGGAAGAAAGCAGGGACCAGGGTACAGCCAGGTGTGAGCTGCAGGAGGAGGCAGTGGGGAAAGGGGTAAGCAGTGGGAACCTGCACGTACTTTGAGGTAGAAGCTCAGACTTGCTGACAAACTGGATGTGAGAATAGGGAAGGAGATTAGTCAGAGAGAGGCTGTGTTCACCCAAAACCCCTGGGAGGATGGAGCTACCCTCGCTCATTATGAGGGGAAGTTAGGAAATAGGAGCAGGTGTGGTCTGTGCTGTGTGGTGTCAGTGACATCCAGCTGTGGAGTCCAAGTGGACATTGGGCATGTACATCTGGAGTTTGGGAGAGGCCTGGGCTAGAGAGATCTGTGGGTCCACCACATAGCTCTGGGGTTCAATTCCCAAGTTGTTGGGGTGAGGTCAGCAGGAGGTGGTCCCAGAATTGTGGAAGGGCGGTGAGGATGAGGAAGAGGAGATTGAGGTGCAACACCCAGAGTGCAGGGTGTCCTGGAAGCCAAGAAGACAGTGTTTCCTGGAGGGTGCCATTAGTTGTGCGATCAGCCTTGCCCAAAAGGAGGCTGACAACTGAGGACTGCCCAGGACAACAGGCAGTGTAGAGGGCCCTGAGGTCGACAGCACTTGTTCCAGCAGAGACATCTACAGGTGAAAGCCACCTACACATGGATCCAAAGTGTGGATCGTTCTTCAGCGAGAAGAGTGGTAGGGAGAGTGGCTGGGAGCAGTGAGGAAATGTGACAGTGGAGGGAGGAAGGAAATAAGTGCTTGAGACAGTGTTAGGATCTGTGAATATTTAGTTTCTAATGGGTGATGTAAGGAAGTCAAAGAAGTCTTTTTTTTTTTTTTTTGTCAGAGAGTTTCACTTTGTCACCCTTGGTTAGAGTGCTGAGGTGTCATAGATCACAATAACCTCAAACTTTTGTGATCAAACAATCTTCTTGCCTCAGTCTCCTGAGTAGCTGGGACCACAGGCACCCGCCACAATGCCTGGCTGTTTTCAGAGACAAGGTCTCACTCTGGCTCAGGCTGGTCTTGAACTCCTAAACTCAGGCAATCCACCTGCCTTAGCCTCCCAGAGTGCTAGGATTACAGGCATGAACAACCATGCCCAGCAAGGAAGTCTTCTGAGCAGGTGACATTTTAGCAGAAACCTGAGATGTAAAGGTGTGAGTCCAGTGAGGTTCTAGAGCAATCAGTGTAAGGCCATACCTGTAATGTTTTATTTAGGAATAGTGTGGAAGCCAGAGAGGCCTGGAGCCTTTCCAATCCCTGGGCGGGGGGGTGGGGGGGGTGGGGGGGGGTGTCCAGAGCTTCCTGAGTTGTGTGTCACAGCATGGATACTGTGGTGACATTCTTTCTTTTTTCTCCAGGCCTACAGCTGGCTGCAGACATAGCCAGCCTTCAGAACCGCATCAACTGGGGGCAAAGCCAGCTCCGGGGGCTCCAGGAGAAACTCAAGCAGCCAGAGCCCGGGGCTGCCTGACTTGCACTCACAGAGGCAGAGCAGCGAGCATAGCTGTTCTGGGATATGGCTGCCTCATCAGAGGCCTTCTCCCTTCACAAGTACCCTTGTCCCACCCCACCCTAGCTAATGTCCCCTCTGTGTCCTTGGTCTGCATGTTTTCACTTTTGTTAGGTGTGAAGTTTTAAGAGGTGATTGAGCATTGAAACCATTTCTAGGTCTGTGCTCTTAGAGGACACACTCTGATGGGCCAAGTGCCTGTTTACTCAGCAAGTCATGGGTTGGATATGGTTTTATTTCAGGGTGATGAAACGCTGGACTGACAGTGGTGGGGAAGGACAGGCAGAAGTAGTTCAGGTTCAGTAGATCCTCAACATAGAACTTGCAGGAGGAAAAAACCATGAATGGCTGAAAGACCAGGACAATATGATTTGAGTTAATAAAAATAAAACACTTGAGTGGATGGGCAGCCCTTGGCAGGGTCTAAGCCAAGAACTAGAAAAAAAGATTTGAATTAGATTAAGGGAACGCTCAGATTAAGGGAATTCTCGGAAAAGACCTTCCAGGTTTTAAGAATCCTGCCTTTATTTTACCAAGCCTCTCTTCATTTGTTGAAGGGCCAATTGTTTCCTATTACAAGAACTTACTTCATTTTTCTACTGCGTTGTTGATCTTTTTAGCAATTTCTAGGAGCTCCTTATGTTTGGGAAACTTAGTCCTTTGTATATGAGATGTAAATATTCCTTTAACTTTGCTTATGGTGTTTTTTTTTTAACTTTTTATTGTAAAATAAAATGTTACATCAAACTGCACACAACAATTGAATGCCTTCATGAATAACTAGGGGAAACTTTTAGAGTTGTATTTATCCATCAGCGGTTATGATTTCTGGATTTAGGGGGGTCCTTGGTAAGGGGATAGGCATTTTCTTCAACTTGTGGTTTTAGCTGGGATATCAGGTGGGTCCTATGTCCACATTTCAAATACCTTCTGCCCATATCCTGTATCTATTAAAGACTTTTATGTGTGTGTGTGTGTGAGACAGTCTCACTCTGTTGTCCAGGCTAGAATGTCATAGCAAGAGCCTAGCTCACAGCAACCCCAAACTGCTGGGCCCTAGCGATCCTCCCGAGATGCTGGGACTAGCAGCTAGGCCTAGTAGCTGATTTTTCTATCTTTAGTAGAGACAGGCCGGGTGTCTCCTGAACTCCTAAGCCATCCTTTCGCTCTCACTGGTATTTCAGGCGTGAGCCTCCGCGCCCCCAGGATAAGTCGGTTTGACTTCCCGGTCTTCGCCTGCTGCGCAAACATTACTCCCAGGACACAGGGAACTGCTGATTCCTGTACCTTTAATGTATACTGCCATCCTACGGGGCAGACAGACACATGGCTGGGTGGGGACCGCTTATGCAGGCCAAGTGGAGCTTCAGCTGCTAATGACAGGTCTACCAGGAGAGCTCGGTGGCCCTCAACCCGTGCCAGGAGGAGAAAGGGGGCCCTTACCCCATATACACGAGAACAGAGGTTGAGTTTCACGATAAACCCCTGCTACAGACAAAATGCAAATCAGTGAAATTTTGAAGCTGAAGTAAGGAAAAAAATAACATTGAATGTCTGCTTTGACCTTATATTCTTCCTGGAGGAATCACCTGGCGCGTCTTTTCCGTCTGTGCTGACTTTCCGTGTCCGCTGACATACACGGAAGTCAGCAAATCCTCCCACCATCTCCGCCGGTGGGTTTGCGGGCGGTCAGGGTCCGGTCGTTACCGCTCCCGCCCACTCAGCAGAGGAGAGCGCGCAGCCGCAGTCGGGACTTTTCTAACCGGGCGGAGCGAAACCTGATAAGTGGGTTGGGAGTGGAGCGCCCTGGTCTGCGTGAGTCACGTACGTGCCTACCCGTTAAACGTTAGGGCGCCTCCCATATGGTCTAGCGGTGAGGATTCCTGGTTTTCACCCAGGCGGCCCGGGTTCGACTCCCGGTATGGGAAAAAAAGTTGTAGTACTGTTTTCTTTCCTTTGAGCTTGGAAATGTTTACCGCTATTTCTGTGTCTTGCCACTAGAACCCCTCCGGCCAAATTGAGAAATAGAGATTCTGGTGGCTCTGGACCCGGTCGGTCTGTATTTTGAGCAAAGTGACAATTTTCATCTCTGCTTTAGCTAGTAGTTTTAAATTTTAATTAATAAGCTTAATTAGTTTTAATTAGTAAGTTTATAAAAAACTTACTAATTATATTAGATACCATATACGGTATCGATGTGGATATTATAAAACTTGAAATGTTAAATTATACTTGAAAGGTTTAAAATTTGTCAGACTCTGCTATGCCAGGTGGGGCTCCGGTCAGCTCTCGGCTCCACACAGCGTCCATTCAGCCCCTGCCCTGCCCTGCCCCTGCCCCGCCACGCCCTGCCACGCCCCCGAAACGCCACGCCCCTGCCTGGCCCCTGCCCCTCCACGCCACGCCCCTGGGAGGAGGGGAGAGGAGTAAGGAAGAGGGGTCGGGAAGGGGAAGGCGCGAGACAGCCAGGAGGAAGAGGGGTTAGACAGGAAGGGAAAGAGGGCAGGCAAGCATGGGGCGGGACCAGGGGGGACCCGCAGTGGTTCTGCTGGTGAACCGGGTCTTTGGGGAGGTTTGTATGAAGTCAGCAAAGGGATGAGAGGGTCGGGGAGGAAGCGCCGCTAATTTCTAATCTGGAAGCTTCTCTTTATGCTTTGTGTGGTCAAGCTGTCAGGGCTCCTGTTTTTCACATGAATAGCCCTGAAGACTGGAAAGAAAGAGTAAGAGAGAGTCACAACTTACGGGTCTGAGCGTGTAAGCATGAGAAATAAATACTGCCGAGGACCCAGACTTAAAAACCCCAAGACGAGGACTTGGGTCTGAATCTAAATATAATAGGCGGCCACTGGAAGATTTTAAGGAAAAGGACAATATCTGAACTTAATAATTTTCTACCCATTCATGGCAGGTGGGGAAAGTGACATTTCCAAGATCACACTGCAGAAACCCAGGCCTGATGTTGGTTGAGTTCCCATGCTGCATCCCACCCCTTTCTGTATTTCATCTCAAATTTTGTACAGTGGCTTCACGTGACACTGATACAGAGTTCCTACACCCAGGGCTGGACAGGGACCCCTCACCCCATTCTCTAGGCCCAAGTGAGCTCAGCATCCAGACCCCCATCTCTAGGCACAAACACCTTTCCAGGCCACACCCTCTGGGCTCTAGCAGATGAAAACAAAGCAGCCTGAAAGGTTTTTGGTGGTTCACCACCAAAACACACCCTAATTCCTTCCCTGAAGCAAAAAATGGGAAGACCTAATAACCTCGCCCCTAATGGAGGGCCTGAGCATTCATTCAGTTGTTAATACGCTCACTAAATTTGAAAAGGTGTTTCCCCACCTACCAAGTGCTGGTGGAATGTAGTTCTCTAGAGAATATACACACCCCTAGACAAAGGACCCATGCAGAGACTTCTAGGGTAAGGTGATCAGATTTTAACATTGGTAAAGCAGGGACACCACTAATCGGGGGTGTGGCGGGGGGAGGGGTGTGTTCTTAATTAAAAATTTGGTCTATATGGAGCAACAAAAATTTTCATAGAATGCAAAAATAGTATTGTAATATATATATTTTTAATTTCAACATAAGTACAATTTACAAATATAATACATAAAAAAATTATGTATAGGGCAGTGCCTGTGGCTCAAAGGTGTAGGGTGCTGGTCCACCTGGGTGACCTTGCCCAGGAGGGGAGTAAGGAGTTTACATTAGCCTTTTCATTTCCAAATGAAGTTACATTAACCTCTTCATTCCCAAATAGAGTTACATTAACCTTTTCAGCAGCCAAAAACCGTATACTCCTTTCCCTAAGCGTTCTTTCAAAAAATCCGGACTTTTTTAAACCCCCTGGGACGCGGGACAAATTGTTAAAAGTCGGGACTGTCCCACCAAAAGCAGGACGTCCGGTCACCTTATTCTAGGGACCCATGCAGAGACTTCTAGGGACCTCTGAAGAGACTTCCAACTTGGAACTTTCCCTTTACCAGAAGCTGTGGTGCTTCTATATTCCTTTCTATCAATAAATCCTATCTTACCACTGATCTGTGGTCCTGGGTTCATCCTTTGTATTCCTGAGACCAAGGAGCTACTGAAGAAAAATTCCAGTTAACACCAGCCCACAGATTTTCTAAATGGCATCTCATAGATGCCTGCTGACATCCCTATGAAGTGGGTACCAGTTTGATTCCCCACTGGGCAGATAGAGAAACTGGGGAGGCCTAAAAGGCACAATGTCTTGTCCAGGTCACATAAGTGGGGAGTAGGAACCAATCTAAACTCAGGTGGTTCGTCCCTCAGAGCTGGGACCTGGTGGCCCTGAGGCCTTCCTGGGGCCACAAGAATGCAGAGATGGTGCTGAGAGAAGATACCTGAGAAGGGAGAGGTCAAGGAGAACAGGTCTTCTCAAGAAGACCACAGGATACACCTGCAGGGTCCTCTCCATGGTGACTCAGCTCTTGGGAATTTGTAGACTTAATTTCCTGGAACTTGGAAATTTCCACTTCTGTGAAATCCTGTAGTTCTGTGGGGGATGGAATAGCATCTCCCGCTTAATTCAAACTGACCAATGAGAAAGGTGCCTGTGGGTTGGAACTTTTTGATTGGAGATAAAAAGGGAAAGACCAAGCCAATCGGGGAGTGGGCCTTTTCGAATTCTTCTATGCTGTAAACCCCACCGGCTGAAATAAAGCCCTTCCTCTTATAAACATGATGTTTCGGTGATCTTTCTCTCCACTCGGCCTTGTTTTCCTGCAACATTTTAGCTATGTGCATATATGTGCCCACATGGAAAGACCTCAAGGAAACCATGACATGAAAAAGCATGTTGACAACCAGTCTATATTGAAGGTCTTATTGTAAAAACTACTACATATGATATAAAGATGCTTGGATACATGTAGTAAGTGAATCTGTGTGTGAGTTAGTGAAACAGACCAAGACAGAGGGAAGAATGAGGAATGGAGAGCCTGAGAGATCTGACCAAACTACTAACAATGGTTAGCTCTCCTGGGTAGGCCTTCAGAGTCCTGTATTCTCTTTAAGTGATATTTACTTTTTTTATAATATACGTATTATTTTTGTCATTATGGAAGTTTAGTATCATACTAAATTCCGTCCACTTAACACTCACCTATCAAGTAAAGGACAGAACCTACTTTTTCTTTCTCTCTGTCTCTTTTTTTTTTTTTTTTTTTTAGACAGAGTCTAACTTTGTCACCCTTGGTAGAGTACTGTGGCATCACACCTTAAAGTGACCTCAAACTCTTGGGTTCAAGTGATTCTCTTGCCTCAGTCTCCCAAGTAGCTGGGACTATAGGCACCTGCCACAATGCCCGGCTATTTTTTAGAGGGGGGGGGGTCTCACTCTTGCTCTGGCTGGTCTCAAATCTGTGAGCTCATGTAATCCATCTTTCTTGGCCTCCCAGAGTGCTAGGAGTATAAGCATGAGTCATTGCACCCAGCCCCTAGTTTTTCTTTTCTTTTTGTCTTTACAAAGACAAAAAATACCTAGTTTAGTAAAATAAGAAATTCAACAGGAATGAAAAGTAAAATAAATAAAGGTCATGGTTCTTTATTACGATCAGCACTCCATGCAGAAACAGTGCCCCTCTCACATGGTTTTTCCCTTCCCATCCTCCCCCTTGAGTGTGGGTATGTGTATGTGCCCATGTGGAGTATGAGTGTGAAGGTGTGTTCTCTTGAGCAGTGTCTTAGGGA